ATTCTCTCTTTACAAGTTGACTAACACCTCCAAAAATCTGGAAGTGCTGATCAACATAGAAAGAGGGTTCCAACATGTGTTGAGTATTTTGTCTTGTTCTTTTCCCCATCATGTTTGCAGTGCTTCAGTAGCAGCAGTAACAAGCAGAGTTCCTGGTTGGTTCCCTCCCAATCATGAATTTACCTAGCCCTGTAGTGTCTGTATGGTAATTTTATGTTCATTCATGCTTTCCCATAATTCGCCTGGCGCAGCCATGAAGCTCACCATCTCTAATTCTCTGGCTCTTTCTAGATTTTGTTTTAAAATGACATTACATTGACCACTCTCTAGTCCTCAAAAGCCAATCATATTATCAAGTTACATACTTTTATAAGAAAATCAGCATATTCATGTCTTATTTCTTTAAGAACTCTTGGATAAATGTAAAACCTGGACACCAAATTTGGCTTACATCAGATCAGATCTTCGGTCATTCTAGGTCAGAAATGCACCATCAACAGCCTCTGAACACCATGTGCCAACACTCAATCTTCAATTCATCTCTGCCACCAATAGGTTTTTCTGTTCTGATATAATCCTTTCAGTTTTAGATGCTTCTTTCATCCAATGCCTATATCAAGATTGAGCATTATAGCAGGGAGACAACAATGTATCTCAGATACCAAATTATTTTTCAGTCGTTGTCACCCACAGTACTTCTTCAAAAGAATCTTAACTATGGGGAAGGGCTGTCAAATATTTCTAGTTTAACTCATCTCCTCTTTGACAAACAGCATGGCACTACATCCGAAAACTTCTAGTTTGTGTCTAACTATATGCCACTATTTTGTCTTCCCCATTTTGCAAAGTTGCCATCATACCAACTGCATCTATGCATTTCTAAAAACAAGCACTTCTCGCATTTGGGTTCAGATTTCTAGCATTAGCAGAGAAACAACTATAGGTGGTGTTCATCTCCAAATGTCTCTAAATGTGCACATCTGGGACACTCTGTCTTATTACTTATTCATTTCACTTCATTGTCACATGGTGTTGTATGCTTGTGTATTATCTCTGTCCTATCCCCAATTGGTCAATCAAAGCTTTTTCACTCTGATGCCCTAAGAGTGAGTCACCTAGAACGTGATGCTTCCCAGCATCTGCCAGTTTTCCCCAAGTTCAGTTTCTAAGCTGCTCCGATGCTTTTTTCAATATGAAGTGCCAGCAGCCTGGAAATTGTTAGTAACTTGCTTGTTTCACGCTGAGCTCACATTGTGCCTGGCCCTTTTGTATATGCCTGGCTTGGCCCAAAACATTTATTCCCCGAAGGCCCTCCTACCAATTGTCACCATGTTGTTGTTGTTGTTTTTAATGCAGATGGACTATTCAGAGATTTGGTCCAAGCTCAACAAAAGCAAATGATGCCCCTCTTGGATAAACGTAAAACCTGGACACCAAATTTGCCTTATATCAGATCAGATCTTTGGTCATTCTTGGTCAGAGATGCACCACCAATAGCCTGTGATGTAATGCCTTCAAAAATACTGCTGTTTGAAGCCTATTCATCCATTTACCATCCTTCATAGGTTTCAAAACCCGGTTTTAGCATTGCTTTTTTAATGGGAAAATAAAACATTTGCTCTTGCAATGTAGAAACGATATACATCCCAGGTCAAGAGCTATTTGTGCACACAGGTGTCAGGTGAAAACCTCATGAACTGTTGATGCATTATGGTACAATGTCTGGCTCCCCTGAGAAATAAAAGAGCCAAAGGAAGGACCAATGTTGGTAAAACTCTTGAAAACAACCACTGAGAAAACAGGAAGAGTTGCTGCCACTTTTTTAAAAAAATTCACATTCCATGGTTTGATCCTTTCCTTCCTCTCTTGCAACATAAGAAGGATGCCAGTATTCAAAGAAATATATTTAGATTCCATTTCAATGTATTCCATAGATTTTCAGAGCTGTTTTTGGTATCTTTATTCAGAAGCAGGTCCCACTTAAGTAATTGGGACCTAGTTTACATGCACGACCCTAAAGCGGAACACACTTCACTGGAAGTCTCATGATTCACTTCATGATGCCTCCCAAGGCATTCAGCCTGCAGTCCTCAGTGAGAGCCCTAGGAATGGGAGAGAAACTAAACTGAAGAGTTTATTTCACACCTTTAGCTAAATGCAGGAGCAAACCAAACCAAAGAGTGCTGCTTATATAGACAGAAGCTTTAAGCACTTTCTGGGCAGCTGAAAAATTAATTTTTCAGGCTACACATTTTGCGTCCCTCATGAACTAAGTGCTCAGTTTATTGACCTTGGAAGGATGGAAGGCTGAGTCAACCTTGAGCTCGCTATCTGAACCCTACAGAATCAAACTCAGATTGTGAGCGGTCTTGATTGCAGTACTGCAATTTAATCACTGCACAACGAGGAGCAACTGTGGCCTATAGACCTTGAAGCGTCTGCAGCTATTTTCCATAGCTGGATAAGACTATGCGTTCAAATGTTCAAGAATTGCTTTTGTCTGTCAATTGCTGACAACTATTTTGGTCACTTTAAAAAGAAAGAAAAATAATCCCCCAAATCAATCTCTGAAGACATTGCTCTTGCTTTTCCCCCCTTTTTTCTACCTCTCCCCTTGAAATGTCTATGGGCCAGGTTATGCCCAGGTATTGTACAAAATTCTGTTATTTGGAAGACTGTTTGCTTTGGTTGAATACTTTATCTGAGAAACCCCTTCCCACCAATTCTGTTCTAAACTACAATCCAAGCCTTTCAAGCATACAGTAGTGCACATTAAGGCTTTTGCAGAAATGCAGCGATCCTTGAGAAAAACAAAATTCAGCCAATACAGATTGCTGTTATTATGGCCATCATGTCACATTGAACCCACAATTATCCTATGACTTGGTGACCTCCAAAATAAGTTATAATCAACAGCTCTGCTTAGATGTTGCAAACTAAAGGCCATGTCTTTCTTTATTGAGTTAATCCACCTCATATAACATCTTGCTCTTTACTTAATGTCACCACTTTTTCTGGCTTTATTGTCTTTCTCAGTGAGTCCTGTTTTCTCATGATGTGCCTGAAGTACAATAGCCTCAGTTGAGTAATTTTAGTTTCTAGGGAGAGTTGAGGCTTGATCTGACTAGCACCCATTTGTTTGTCTTTCTGATGGGCCATGCAGCCACGAAGCTCCTCTCTGACACCACCGTTCAAACTACTTTATTCCCTGTCAGCTCCTGCATTGTCCATTTTTCAGAGCCATACATAGTCAATGGGAAGATCTTGGGATCTTTTTACCTCAAGTATACTTTGATTCATGTTTCAATTTCATCTGTCAAGTGGCAGATTTCATTTTGCCCTTGTACACATTTGTCTTTTTGGTTTTAATTCAGTTGCTTTAATGGCAACAGCACTGTTTGTACTTGTCTTTTGCTCCTCTCTCATAAGTTACTGAATGCCTTTTGACCAGAGGTTTCATTTTTTGACAGCATATCTCATCATAGTTTAGCAGGCATAAATATTCAGAAGTGGTTTGACATTGCCTTCTGTGCAGTACTAACAAGAGTTAGCTTGAATGTCACTGCCATTATCTGTGGAAGATTTTACATCAGTGCCACTTTCTGCCAATTCACAGGAATTGCCCTTCAAGAATTTCTCTTCCCCCAACATCCCAGGAACTATTACTGCTCTTCCGCTGCTTTAATCATTAATGACAAAATGGATGAATGCATTATAGTCTGGTGTCTCAACTGTGACCATTCCATCCTGGGCGACCCTGGAAGGAAACTCCCAGCAACCACCAGGACAGCTTCCATTCTGAACAGGCCTTTCTTTAGGTGAGCCACATTTAGATGTCTATCAGTGTGGGTCCTTCAGGTGAAACTCTCAGAATTGAGAATTTTAGGAGCTAAATGCAGATAACACTCTTATTTAAGAAGTCTCCTTTGTTGGAAGTTTTTAAACAAATGGAATGGGTCCTTCAGGAATACTTTAGTAATGGATTACTGCACTGCCTGGGGAATTAAGTAAATGACTTTTTTCCTTGTCACTTACAAGTCTATGACAGAAAGGAAGTCTAGTAGTTAATCTGCCAGACTAGAAATGTGCAATGACAAACCTTGAAGCAACCAACATGAATTTGACACAACTCCGGGAGGCGGTGGAAGATAGGAGGGCCTGGCGTGCTCTGGTCCATGGGGTCATGAAGAGTCGGACACGACTAAACGACTGAACACACACAGAAATGTGTATCTCTGAAGTTCCAGGGAGCATCTTTAACCAGCCTCAGACTGCCTGTGGACTAACTATACCAGTCCTTTCCACAAAGCAGAACTATCCATGGAGGGAGAGTTGTCTGGATACATCTGCCACTTCAGGTTGTGATCACTTCTTTTGTAAGTTGCACAAATTATTTCAGGTGTTTGTGGAATGCAACAAAATTGGACTGGTTGAATTAGAAGTTATCTGATCCCTAAATTAACCACTTGTACCATTATTTCCCATTTTATTTCATACAAAATTATTCATACAGCCAGTAATTAATGATATTACAGAGGAGTTCTTATTAACTTAAGAGTGAAAATACATGAGCATAAGTAATTAATGATATTACAGAGGAGTTCTTAATAACTTAAGAGTCAAAATACATGAGCATAAACACACAGCAAATATATCTGTATTTAGCTGAGCATATCTCAAAATGTTTAAATGGAAATATATTTCTGCTCAGTGTAAGCCCTACTAGGTTTAATTGTGTTTATTTGGGAGTATACTCAACATCAATTTTCATTTAAATTGACAGAAGTTCCTGAAGAATAGCCGCAATTCAAGCTGGATATTATTAAAGAAGATTTTTTCAAATGTACACCTACCTCGCTATGCGGGGCACCACTGTAGATCCTTGTGTCTGTACATCCCCACATCTGTGAAGCCTAGACATCTGAAATTTGGTACAGACAATAGACACTTAAGCAGCAACCGTAAGGCATCTTTAAAAAGAAAAAATAATGTAGATTGATTTTAGTTAATTAAAATTTGACTTATGCAATCTTTAGTCAGTTGTGGGTAGACAATCGTAACCTACCCCAGAGACAAAGCTGCAGTCATTCAAGGGAAGTTTGTTTTTCCAGAGGGTCTCCAGGTAGGTCCACATGATGCTTTCTAATGCAGTGCCCTTAAGCCCTTTGAACAGTTGGAAGACAGAAAGTGTTGCTGACTGATCAGTTGGCAGAAGGGAGTGAACAGAGCAGTGGAGAGGCTGCAGGAGTGCTGGGGGGGAAAACAGCATGAAAGGGGGAAAAAGGGAAGAATAACAGCAGAGAGAAAGAAAATGTGCACCATGGTAGGTGTGTGTGTATCAAAAGGTTTCTAACCATTGAGAAACCAGCTACTGATTGAAGAAAAGGAAATTACACCTTGTTGAATGAAAAGCTCAAGAAAAGACTGGTCGTTTACTATGTATAAGCAAATACACACTGAAAGACAAAAGGCAGAAGGAATAGGTCACAAAATATACTTTCCATCCATCAAGTTAAATTTCTACCTGTCTGTATCGCACCACTGAAATTTGCTTGACTGATAAATAACTCCAGTCTGTCTCTCTTAAAACCACGAACTGCCTCACCTAAAATATACTTTTGCTTCCAAAGGTGTTCACAGGAATGCAGAGAAGATCTATATTGTCTTTAACATGATCAAAAGGATGGATCCGGGGGTTCCTTGTCGTTTACTGACACCTAACTATTGTGAATGTCAGTTTACTATCTGCATTTTTACTCTTTGTTTTTTGTGAAATCATATGGTTTCCATCTCTGAGCAAACTGCAACACCTTCTTTCTCTGATCTTCAAAGTTTTCTCGTAGACCTTTCCTCCAAAGTCTGGGCTCCAAGTCCAGCATGCCACCAATTACTTCCTTTCAAAGTAGAACAAAGAGAAGAATGTTACTTTTCTTAATTACCATGGAATATCCACAACTGTTCAGAACAACTATTGTGAAGCAGGAGGGGAGAAATCATTGTAGCTTTCCATTTTAAGAACAGGTGAGTCACCCAGTTGTGTACAAAGTAAATATGCACAATGAATTGTTTCTCTCAAAGAATACAGAAGTAGAGTGACAACATGAAATCTGAGCAAAAATGCCACTATTTCCTGCAAATTACTATGTCCTTGATTGTGGACATGGGGGCAAGATTAACTAAATTTATTACTATGACTGTTTCAAAATTACAATACAATACTTAAAAAAAATTAATCTCCAACTTTACCTTCAAGTAAACATTATTGCCGGCTTGACCTTATATGATGAGGCCCTGACATAATGTAGAATGGCTTAACTATATAGCTTTGTACAGCAGTAGATATAACCAGCATAGTTGATAGATTCTAAAGCATACTGTATAGTAATAAAACTGTCAGGTCTATTCCGTTTTCCTAATATATACTGAGCTTCTCAGCTTCTCATGTATAGACTATTACTTATGCAGACTTCACTGAATGGAAACTGGACAATTCAATACCTTTCCAAAATAAAGCGGGAACTTGTGTTGATCTTCAATGACATGAGCAAATCCCCCCTGGACCCCAAAATCAACACAGAAGTAGGGCAAGCCTTTTGGGACCTAAAGGGGAAAAAAAGAGAGTGCATTTATTGTTTCATTCAAAGTAATACATTTAACACCATAGCCTCAAAATGCTTAACTCTAGTGATTTATTTATTTAGATTTAGAGCCCACACCTTGGAACTCTTAGGAGAGGTAAAGCACTAAATCCAGCTGTTAATCCCAAACAGAACACACACACTGAATCAATGAGACCTATATAAGCATTAACTTTATTCAACAACTCTGCTTTTGAGGGAATAATATTTAGATTTAATCCACAGGACACAAGATCTGCTAGGGAAGCCATTTGGGTTACAGCACAACCTAAAGAGAACTGTTATTGTTAAATGCTGTCAAGTTGCTGTCAACCCATGGCAATAAATGCTCTCAAATGTCCTGTCCTCAACCACTCAGCTCAGCTCTTACAGATTCAACCCCATGGTCTTTTTAGGGAGAGACTATGGGCAACAGTTTTTTTTTTCATCTGGCACTAAAAGTTGGTCAATTCTGTTCATATTCTTACTTCTTGGCAAGCACATACCATAGCCTGTGTGCTTACACTGATATGGCCCTGTGTAGTTCTCTAGAACTAGAAGTAAGAAGCTATTGTTAGGATAGAATAAGGAGAGACAGAATGGTTTCCTATAGGCAAAGGTGTCAGACAAGGGTGCGTTTTCTCTCCTCATCTGTTCAGTCCGTACACTGAACATATCATATGGAAATTCAGACTGGATTCTGATGAAGGAGGAGTGCAAACTGGTGGAAGAAACACCAATCATTTAAGATATGCAGATGACACAATCTTACTGGAAAAAACAGCAATCACTCGAAATGATTGTTAGGGAAAGTGAAAGAAGAAAATGCCCAAACAGGACTGCAGCTCTATGTAAAGAAGACAAAAATCATAACTACGCAACAGCTACACAACTTGAACATTGACAATAAAGAGCCACCCTGCTCAGCGCCTGTAGATTCAAGCCCACTGTCTCTTTTAAGGAATCAGTCGATTTTGATATTAGCATCATAGAATAATGAAGTTGGAAGAGGTCCACAAGGCCTTTGAGTCCAACTCCTTGCTTAATCCAAAAATTCAAATCAAAGGATATCTGCCAGGTGGTTGTTTAAATTTCTCCTGAATGCTTCCAGTATTGGAAGTGACTTGACAGCACGTAACAACCACCCCAATCTGATCTAGCTAATTCCCTAAGTAATTTATTTCTGGCTGCACTGGTGTAGTGTTAAAATGGCCGTTCAACCCTCCCAAAAGGTTAATCACCAGCCATTATTTCATTTATTTGTCTTTTGGCAGAGATTGAGAGGGGTTTGGGAGCAGTACTGAGGGACCTGATGAGTTACTTGTAACCTAAGGATTGCATTGTGCCCTGCACTGTGTTATAAAATCCTCAAGTGAAAGCACAGAGACAGAAAGGGTTGTCCGTCTTCTCATTCCCCAACTTCCAGGGGCCCGGCAGCATCACGGCATTCTGTCTTCAGACAGTACAGCTACAAAGGTCCTTCTATTTCCTCTTAAACAAGAATAGGGTCATCTTTGTCAAGGAACAGAGGGCGAGGAGAAAAGACATAGGAAGATTGTTTTTCAAATGCTTTGAACTAAAATTGAGAAGAAACCAGAAGTAAACGTACCCTTAGCAGACCATATTCTACTGCCATCTATGTAATAAGATGCCTTTCAAACATTGTTCCCCCACCCCAACATCTTAGCCCTTGTGCAGAGAGCAAACTGCTATGAAGCTGCAATGACTCCAAGCAAAGACTCCACCTAACTCAAGCAGGTAACAGTTCCAAGACATCATCGCCAACAAGTCCATAGTCATGCTGTGCATATCTACTCAGAAGTAAGCCCCTTTTAGTTCAGTGGAGCGTACATCCTAGTAAGTTTAGGATGTGGTTTAGGGCTGTAGCCTTTACTGTTTTGATAAACAAAATGAAGCACTGAGATGAAGTTGTCTGCCAACTTTGCCACCACCACTACTGCCTTCAAGTGCTCCAGAACTATTTAAAAACCTTGCCTCGTTGCCATCAATGTATTCAGTATAACATTTGGCTTTCCAAGAGGACTGTTATTCAATGTAATCAGTTTCACTGTGACTATATGTGGTCCTGACAGCCAAATCCCAACTTTTCATCTGCTTTATTTAATTATTTTTTCTCCATTCATGGTTCTGGCTTATAAAATATAGGCCAGAAAGCTCTTTTTTTAAAAAAAAAAAAAACTGCTTTTGATTGTAAGTAAAAAGATTCCATACATACCGACTTGCGAACATCTTTTGAAGACAGATCAATCAGTTTTTTATTCATGGACCATTCTTCATCGGACTCCATTATAGCTTTCTGCAAAATTATTACAATGTATGGAATGCTCTTAGAATAGCACTATACGGTGTGCCATAATGTAGGGCTTCCTTTATAATTTTAAAAATCAGTTTACAAGGGAGAACAATGCAATTTCTATAATATATATTAATTTTATAATACAAAAAATTTAGTGCAATATAAGAAATTAATTTGAGACACATTCCTGCAATTTCTGCAACTCAATTTATACATATTAAAGTATAATGAAGACTTATTTATACTCATTCTTCCCAGTACCTTTAACTTTTCATTTGTATAGTTTTAGAATTGCAGTCTACCTTTAGTCCAATACCAATTATTTCAGAATAAGAACTGCCAGTCCGTAGAATAAAAATGGCAATAGGCCTTAGCAACACAGAAAACTAATTAAGCACTTTTTTTTTTACTTCGATAAAGAAATACAAGTGTCACAGTTCTGTTGTAATTTAAAAATCTGTATCACCTATATTTCAGTCTCCAGTACCTCCAGATACTGTTTAAGAGGCTCAAATATTTTCTGATAAAGATTCAGAATGTAACTCAGAGAGAAGACACTAGAAGACTTTAATGAAATACTAGGAAGGAAGCACAAGACTAAGATTCAGTTCCACTATCGCCACATATTAAAAGGTATGGGGATTCATCAAATGTAGCCCTGTTAAAAATAACTTTATTTTCATATGGTATGTGCAGCCATTTTACAAAGGAAAAGAGTAACACATTAAACTCCAGAGTTGGTTTAAGTTGGCAGGTTCTACCAACACATCATTTCCTAGCCTTTACATAATGTCTGGTTAGCTCAGTGGTTTAAGTATCTGGCTCAGGAGCCAGCAGTTAAGAGTTTGATTCCCCCCCGCCGGTGACTCCCATGAGAATAGCCAGCCTGGGTGGCCTTGGGCAAGCTGCACAGTCCTAGAATGCCCCCAGAAGAAGGGAATGGTAAACCACTTCTGAGCATTCCAGTAAGTCAGAATTGACTTAATGGTACATGATTATTACTATTACATAATGGGAAAAAGAGGTTACTTACCTCTGTGGTTCTTCGAGTCGTCATCTGTGATTTCACACTAATGGGTTAACTCCCACCTGCGCAGAGTGACTGTGGAACCTTCTAGAGCTCAGGCACATGGTGCCGGGCTCCTCCCCCATGCTGCCTATAATAGTGAGAGGCAAATGTGGATGGCGTGTCCCACATGGCTGCTTTACAGATGTATGTCAAGTCCACCCCTCTGAGCAAGGCCATAGAGGAAGCCACAGCCCTGGTGAAATAGGCTTGTACAGTACATGGTAGGGGAGTCTTGGCCAATTCATAAGCCAGGCGAATTGTGGAAACTATCCACCGAGAAACTGTCTGTGGAGAGACCGAAGAACCCCTCAATTGTCCATGGAAGGAGACAAACAAACGCTAGGATGAGCGGAAGGCAGCAGAACAAGAGACAAAGTACGCAAGGGCTTTCTTAACGTCCCAAGAGTGAAGAGGCCGCTCCAGGCTAGAGGCAGGAGACGGAAAGAAAGTCGGCAGTATTATCGGCTGGATTAGGTGAAAACCTGAGGCCACCTTAGGAAGGAAAGAAAGGTTGGGGAACAGGGTCATCTTATCTGGGTGAAATTGGGGGAAGAGTGAGTTGACTCGCAGGGCCGCAAGCTCACTGCCCCACCTCACAGAGGTTACAGCAGAAGGAACACAGTTTTTAGTGAGAGCAATTTGTCCAAAGCAGAGGCCAGCGGTTCAAAAGGAGGTCCCATGAGTTTGTTAAGGACTAGCTGGAGGGACCATTGAGGAATGGGGGACTTGTAAGGGGGCCCCAGATTTTTTAACCTATGTAAAAAATGTTTGAGTGTTGGATGTCGGAAGAAAAACCGCCGTGGCTGGCACGGCCACCAAGGGGCAATCAGAATGGCATCTGCTCTTTGTTGACGTATCCTGAGAATGGTCTTCTGCATCAGTGGTATGGGTGGAAACATGTACAGAAGTTTGTGCACCCACGAGATCATGAACGCATCTCCCAATGATAGGTGGCTGACTCCTACCCTTGAACAGTAGTGGACACATTTCGTGTTGGTCAGAGAGGCGAAGATGTCCACCTGGGGCACGCCTCATCTGCAGCAGAGGGACAGGAATACTCCCTTGTCCAGAGCCCACTCATAGGTGCATACTTGCAGCCTGCTCAGTTGAACTGCTAGCACATTGTCCTCCGAGGCCATGTGAACCACCATGGGATAGATGTGGCGAGTGTAACACCATTCCCACACCTGGATGGTTAAGTACAGAAAGCAGAGGGAGTGTGCGCCTGTTTGTTGAGGTAAAACACTGCTGTAGTGTTGCCTGATGCCACCTAAACTACTCCACCGAGGAGATTTCTTTCGAATGCATGAAAGGCTTAATAGCCAACAGTTCCAGGTGGTTGATATGTAACGGCCGTTCCATTGGTGACCAAAGGCCATGCATCGTTAGATGTCCCAAGTGAGCTCCCCAGCCAGAGGGGCTTGCATCTGTAGTGAGTTGGACATCTGGAGCCAAAGAACCAAAAGATCTGCCTATTAGCAAATTTGGGCGGAAGCTCCACCAGGAGAGCTGCGCTGCAAGCTCGACAGGGACTGATAGGAGCTTGGACGGCGGGTCCAACAAGGGGTTCCAAAGTGACAGGAACCACACCTGTAATGACCGCATTCTTCAATCTGGCATGCCGGAGCACTGCTAGTAAACGTAGTACTTGTAGCACTGAGATCCTGGTGTCCCGGAGGAAGAGAGCCACCATCTGCTCGATCTTCAAAATACGGCCCTTGGAAGAAAGGCTCTGCCCACAGAGGCATCCAGAACTGCACCGATGTACAAAACCCTCTGAGTAGGATGCAGAGTTAACCTGAAGTCCCAGAGCAGATAAGAGGGACAGTGTGAACGATATGTCTGTGTTCAACTGGGCCTGTGTTAGCGCCACCAGCAACCAATCATAAAGATATGGAAAAACAGTGATACCGTGCAAAGGAAGGTAAGCCGCCACTGGGGCTAAACACTTCATGAATACCTGTGGGGCCATGGATAACCCAAAGGGGGGGGCTTGAATTCGTAGATCACCCCATTGAGAGAAAATCTCAAAAACCACTGATGGTCAGGCCAAATGGAGATGTGAAAAATAAGCATCCTTCAAGTCTATGACTGCAAACCAGTCTCCCTGTCTCAACATCTGGATGGTGCCATGGAGGGAAATCATCCTAAATTTTCGGGGTGTGATATACAAATTCAAGGGGCGGAGGTCCAAAATGCGCCAAAGTCCGCCATCTTTCTTTGGTATGAGGAAATAATGGGAAAAGTGCAAAAACAGGGTCATGAACCGGGACAGGAGAGCGCTACCTATTCCTTTAGAGGGGGTGAGAGAATTTGATTCTTTACCTGTAGCTGGTAAAGAATCAAATTCAATAGCATAGCCATAAGCTATAATGGCCAAAACCCAGGCATCAGAAGTGATGGATCACCAGGCAGAAAGGAAGGGTGCCAAACAAACTGAAAAGTGAGGTGTTGCTGGTGTGCCTAAAGAGTTAAAGGTTCTGCTTAGGCCTACGGTCGGAACATCATGCCTGCTAGCAAGGTTACTGCCTGCCAGTCTGCTGACGAGACGGACCTAATTAACAACTTGCATTTTGTGGTCTCTGATGGTCAGGATAAGGCTGGTAAGGAAAAGAATGACACCAAGAGTTTTGTGGCTACTCTGTTGATTGGAATATGACCTGGCCATCTTGTGTAATTTCAGAAGGTTGTCTAAGATTTCACCGGTCTTTCCGTCAAAAAGACCAAGTCCATCGAATGAGAGGTCCTCAATTCTGGCACAAGCAGCCTCAGAGATACCAGCTGATCTCAACCAGGCATGTCGTTGAAGAGATATTGCTGATGTAACTTGCTTGGATGCGCCATCTACTACATATCATGCAGCAATCCTTTCCTGCCGAGCTAAGGATATGGCTTCCTGATGGCAGGTAAGAGTGGCTGAGCGAAGTTCCTCTGGATCAGCCTGCAAGGCAGTATTCCAGAGGTGGCGACGATAAGCACCCATCGCCGCAAAATAATTAACCACCCGTAGCACAAAGGATGCTAAGGAATAAATCTGTCTACCCAGGATGTCCAATTTTCGGCCCTCCTTGTTGTTAGGCGTTGTGGCCAACTGGTTCCTCGTTTTATTTTGTGTAGCATCCATTACAAATAAACTAGGCAACAGATGCTCTGAGAGGAATTCTGTGCCAGAGCCATGCATTTTGTACACGTTCTCTACCCTCCTGGGTATCTGATAAGAGGTAGGAGGCTTGTCTCAAGGTTCTTTAGCAAGCTTGAGTAAAGAAGAAATAAACGCCATGCGAAGAGGAGGGGACTGATATTTTGTAAAGTCCTTGTAAAGTCTGTCTACCTCTTCTAGAACAGGCTGATCTATTGCCAGGTCCATTCCTTTTGCAATCCTGCGTATCAGCTGCGAGTAAGCCGTGTAATCCTCCAAGGGAGAAGGTGGGTGGCTCTCCACCACCTTGGAGTCTGGTGTTGGAAGATTAGGAGGAGTATCTTTATCTAACTCCTCAACCGAAGTTTCCAAGTCAGATGTATAAGGCTCCTCCTGGCCCAGAGTAAGTGCTCAGGGCCAAGGCTCTCGAAGGGGAACATCCAAACGAGCAGATAAAATGCCATCTTTGACCCCAGGCGAAGGGGTAGCTGGAATTGGGTCCGCAGGAGGTCGTGGTGTTAGGCATCGGCACCGAGCGAGATCGAGTTGTCGAGACGGGAAGAGCGGTCTCATCACTGTAGGTGTGCGAGCCCTCAGCAAAGGTTTGCCTTCAGGTTCACCCTCTGGGTAGAAGTAGGCACCTGGATGCCGTCCATATCAAGGAGGCGATGGTGGAGAAGAATAGGAGCCATAATATCAGGACGAAACCTGTAGAAGTCAGGGTCATAGGGCACCCGATATCGACACCAACCAAACCTGAAGTCTTCGGGGTCGAGGAAATTCTCGTAGTCATCCCTGCCAGATCTGAGACAGTCTTGACGAGGGGAGAAATCCTCTGGCCAGAGACACCGGTGGTGGTATCTCCTGGGCTTGGGCACCGGCTCCAGGTGCCTCATCTTCTGCCTCTTCTTCTTAGACATCTCGGCTAGAGATGCAGATGGAGATGGAGACACCTGTCTCGACATCGAGCCAGGGCTAATTTGCACCACCAAGTGAACCTCCGCAGAGGTGTCCGCCCAATCTGGGGGGAAAGGGACAGGCATGGAGATGGTGCAACTGGCGGCCTGGAGCCTGACATATCTTCATCTCCCAATGGCACGCTTGGGCCCAAAGAGTCTCTTCGTGGTCGGGGTTGATGGCAAGACAACAGGTATGCGCCTGAGGGCTCCTGGGGCAACATCCTCTTCTTTTTCAGCACTGAAGCTGAAGCCGTTGACTTTGAGCCTGAAGAAGACACTTTTGCCAATTTTTTAGCCCATTTGAGTGAAGACGCTGCAGCCGGCAAAGTCTCGACCGGAGTAGACTGCGGCGGCTCCATGGGCAGCTCTCGGGACAGGCAGAGAGATTTTTCCCACAAAAACGAACACAAACGCTGGAGCCTCTGTTTTAAAGTCAGTTTGGCAAATCCTTTACAAACAGCACAAAAAGCCGGCTGGTGCTCCTCTCCTAGACAAAACAAACACTGGGGATGTCCGTCTGAAAGGGGCACTTTATTCGGAGAAAAGGAGCAAGGCTTAAAGGGGCCCGACGAGGCCATAAACAAGTCCACAATGACAAACAAAGAGACAAGCCAGTTATATGCTTTCTTTGCCAATCTCACAAACCAAACAAATCGTCAACAGTCCAAATCAGAAGGTCGAAGCAGTAGAATGAGGAAAAGGAAAGAATACGACATGAAAGCTCCGAGATGCTGCTACAGTGGTGGCAGAAACGGAACTGAGGCACTTGGTGCCAGGCAGGGTTATAGGCAGCATGGAGGAGGTCTTGGCATCATGTGCCTGAGCTCTAGAAGGTACCGAGATCACTCTGCGCAGGCGTGAGTTAACCCATTAGTGTGCATTCACAGAGACCACAAAGAAGAACCATGAAATTATAGATTATACAGTCCACACAACTGGGTTTAGATAATTCCAGGGGATTTTTTGCCGGGACCCTTTTGACCTACTTTCTTTACTTCTAATTTTGCCAAACAATAATTTTGGAAACTGCATGTTCATAGTTTCAGTTGGGAAAAGGGAAATACATTCCATATGAGATTGTATATGGGCTTACTTTATATTTTTGAGCTTCCTGTGGATCACTTTAGCTCAGTTTTTTATTTAAAAAAAATTCAAGACTGCAAAAGCAAAGTGAACAAAGCAAAAATCACATAGCACAAAACAGAGAGAAACACAGCACTTAAAAAAAGATACCTTGAAGTAGATAGGAGCCATATCCCCCACTTCCTTTGGAAGAGGAATACATTCATATACCATGTGATATCGTTTCTTTATGCTTAAGTTGATCTCAAGAAAAACACAATCCAGGCCCTGAGCTTCAAACATCTTCACTAAAGTTTTCCTGAATACCTGGTAAGATAGATTGTGGAGAAAGAGAGAAAAAGTCAAGATAACTATGCTTTCCGATCCCAAAATAATTACACAATACAAATGTATTCCTGACTAGCAGGAACGGAGAAGTCTTGTCCTTTCATAGAGTAATGTCATGTGGCATTCAAAATAAGATTAGAAACAAGCTTAGCAGGAGAACATGATGAGAAATTTTAAATATTTATAGTATGTGCATAATGATGTGGAAATGAAAGGCATACTGAAGTTCAGAAAATTTGAGGGTCCCATAAATGGAGGGAGAAACAACAGGCAGTCTTAGAGCTTCATTCCTCCAAAATTTAATACCTTGCCATGTCTTAAGTCCAAATGCCACCATTTGTCAACTCTGCCTTCCAATTACACAATTTATCAAAAAGTGGCATTTTCATCAGACGTGATTAACCTTTAATTCAGATATGAATATTCCCTTAAAGAAAAAACAGTCTGAGATCTTTTATCTCCCTTGTGCAGAAGCTGATCTGAACTGTTACTGGAACTGACTTGACCTCTGCTCACAACTCACTCATTCTCCTCTATTGGATGGAACGTCGGAACTGATTATGGAAAGGATCAGTTTGTAGCTGGAGTGGTGCCTGGAAGCTGGCATTTTTAAAAAACAAGCAGGTAAGATGGAAATCACAGTCTTAGATTTCTAATGAATGAGAGATAATTTTGACGCCCAAACCTGAAACATTGTGGTGGTATCCAACCAAGAGGAAGCAGTTAGTTAAAAACGTCCTTCAATCTGAGCTCTTTGAAAACAGTTACCAGTTGAAAAGAACAAGCTGGAGTCACCTTAAGTCAATGACTAATGTGGCAGACGCATGCATTATAAAATTTATATTTTATTTTACACTTGCTAAGCCTTATTATCCTAGCAAAGGTAAGACATGTTTTAAATGAGGAGCCATTTCCCACATTATCTCTCTAAACAAAAAAAAGGATTTATTCTAACATGAAAACCATTTGCTTTGTCCTTCAGAACATGTATGGCAAAGCAAGGCAGGGACTAACTTGTATGTGTTCCTGTTTCCCAAATAAAGAAATATTTATCTTGTCAACTTGATATTTATCTTGTCGACTTGTATATAGAATTATAGAATAATTGAGTTGGAAGGGGCCTATAAAGCAATCAAGTCAAACTCCCTGCTCAGTATTTCACATCTAATAGTTCCTTTGCTATTAACAGAGTGAGATAATAGGTATTAGTACTACCTACTCTCACTTAATAGAATGTTCAGAACTTCCTGGTGGTCTTTCACATCACCAGTTACCTCCGTTAACTGGAGATTCCATAGAATAATCTATTACCTTCTTCCCAAAGATTCTTAATTCTACCACTGAGCTATGGTCTTGTTCCATTTCAGACCAAAATCCAAAAATATGTAGGGCAATGAAGTCTTTCTACTTTCTACAGTACCAAGAAACCACAACAGCACATGGGAGTTTCAAGTCAGCCGTTCTTGACTATCATGATCATAAAATGGCATATCATGTCTTTAATCTCTAGGTCTCTGACCCAAAGAAGTGACATTTGGATGATACTTCTATATCATCTAAAAGGTAAGGTTTCAGAGACAGAATATGGCAGATTCTAATTTTTAACAGGCTTGTGGCCAAGTTGCAGAACATTCTCAAAATCAGAATGGTGTGCATCCTATTCTGCAAGAGGATTAATTTCTTCTGCAGTTGGACATTCTTAAAACAACACATTGGTTGAAGTCATGTTGCTTAATTACACAAATGGCGTGCCTTTTACAGGCACATCACCATAAATTATCTGCTGTATGCCGGGCTGTGATACTCAATATGCAACAGCTAACATCTACAGCAGTTTCTTAACTTACAGCAATTTGCTTCCCAAAGTTCTGTCATTTGCATAACTGCACAATAAGATTTCATTCAATGAGGGGAAGAGGGGAAGTTCATAACATCTGTAAAGTCAAAATAAGTCTCTCCAAAAATTATCTGAGCACTATCTCAAAGCAGGTCACATACTGTAAACATTCTACTTTGACTTTACTTTTTACCGTTAATGCTTTTCCCTGGGAAAGCATGTCAGTCTCGAGACTGCTGGAGAAGCCAAGCAGATGCTGTGAAGATAGGCTAAGAGCTGTCAACCAGGATACTGGCAGGAGGATGTCCGAGAAGCAATGACATTTAAATGCAAATTAAACTGTAACCACTCCCTGACCAGCATCTTCAGGAATCATACACCAGTAAGCAGATCTATTCATTATCCTGTTCTAGTTGAAGAGACGAAGAATTAATTCAACAGCTGACACATTACTGCCTCTCATTTCCACTAGCAACTCTAGTGCCAATGCTATTTTGGAGACTTTCAAGCTAAATTAGAAACAAAAAATGCTCTTTTGCCACTACTACTGCAATTACTAAGACAATTTTAAAAGCTTATAGAAAAGGTTGTAACCCTGTAGTGTTGCAGCATCTACTTTGCATGCACAAGGTCCCAGATACACCGCCAGACAGGACTAGGGACAAATCTAGACCTGTTGTTGAAACTGCAGAGAGCCACTACCAATTTGCATAGACAGTAGTGAGCTAGGCAAAATTATAGTCAGATTCATTGTAAGAGAGTGCTCAAACAACATGTGCCAGATGGAACATTTAAATAATGAAGGATTCCCTTGGAAGCCTGTCTTTTTATTATTTCTTCCAACTCCATCCAATGGCCTGGATTGTGTACTGCAAATGGAAGGCTCCTATTTTTTAGAAGGGCACCTTTGAGCCATCTAATACCTACTACTGATTTGCAAGATTGAAGGGGAAAGCAGCCAAACATGCCTATCTCCTTTCTGAAAAGCATTGTATGAGCAAAAAGTCAATCCCGAAGATCTCATCATAGAAGCTGTAATATAAAAACTATGGAATGTGCCATTTGGGGAAGAATTATCCAGGCGGAATTCTGGGCATTCCAGCCCACAGACTCATGCCTACACCCACCTGCACTTCACTCATCCAGTCCAGGACTTACTACCGAGGATGCATTACTGACTTGGACCTTGTTTCCTGTACATAAAAGGAAGCTGCCACAATGCTTCCTTAGGAGCTGTAGTTCTTTGGGAGGTGCCCTCTATAGAATCTAAAGGGCAGTAAGACTATGTCTTCTAGAAAGCACCATGAGAGTTTCCTTTTTGTACGTTAATAACAGGAAGCAAGCCCTGCTACAGCCATGCAACTTCAGAGATAAGCCCCTGGCATCTGTAGGAAGACTATAGGCTAGAACTCCCACAATGCTTTGGAGTGGAAAAAATAAAAAAAGAATAGCACATCCTCCAAGGGCATGAAAGTTCCTAAGAGACTGTGCTACTCAGAGATAAAATGTTTTTTTAAAATACATAGCAGCAGCAGAATAGAAATCTTGATCTTACAACAGATTAGCTTTGAAATAGGAGCCTTATGGTAAATTTTAGTTTAATTTGACCCATAATTTTCAACCCCATGGCGCTGACCAGAGAGCAATAAAAGATGGTCAAGCCATTTTTCCACATTTTTCATCCTGAAATCAATAATCCACTTTTTTTTCCACAATGCCTCTTTTTTTGCTGCAAGGGCATTGCTGATAGTACCAAAGGCTACTTTATAGAATATCACATTGATTAATTTTTTGAAAAGAGCTTCTTCCAAGTTTTGAAACCATCCTTTTATACTTATACAGAAAACTGGGTTGGTCATATGAAGATTGATTTTTCTTGTTGTTATTGTTGTTTTAAAGTCCCTAGAGGAAATCATATATAATTGAAACAGGTTCATAAACAGGAGTTGCCTGATATCACGTAGTGAGTTTAAAAAATGACCTTCAGCTAAGTAGGCTCAGTTTGCCATATTTACCTCAAAAGACTTTATTAAAAGACTTTATTAAAAAGTCCATCCTTGTCTTTTGAGGTAAATATGGCAAACATGCTTATATAAGCACGCCTACGAGGATCACAGAATCTAAGAACAGTAAAGTTGAAAAATATTCCCAAAGATCATCAAATCCAACTCCTGCCAATGCAGAAAATCCAAGCTAAAGCAACTCTGATAGATAGGCCTCCGAACTCTGTTTACAAACCTCTAGGTGGAAGAGTCCTTCATCTTCTAAGGGAGTTTGTTGTACTGCTAGAAAGCTCTTTCTTCTTCTAGTATTTAGGTGAAATCTCCCTTTTTATAATTTGAATCTCTGGTTTGGGTCCTATCCTCTGGCACGGCACAAAACAATTTAGCTACCGGTATATTTCCATGTGACCGGCCGAAACATATTTGAATAATGGATTTCTAGATTTCCTTAGAAACTTAAGAGTTGAGAAACAAAACAAAACTAGCTTTCAAAGAAGTAGCCATATTAGTCTGTGTAAGAGTATCAGATAAAACAAAGCAAAACAACAAGAGACAAAAACTTTGTGATGTGTTAAAAACTAAGTGCTGTATTTTAATGTGAGCTTTTGTGGATCGTGTCCACTTCATCCACTATCTACTGAGAATTTAATCCATAAAAGCTCATATTAAAATAACAGTCTTTAAGATGCCACTAGGCTTTTTTCTAGCTTCATAGAATCATAAAGTTGGAACGAGTCCAACCCACTGCTCAATGTAGGAATTCAAATCAAAGGATATCTGCCAAGTGGTTGCCTAAATTTTTCTTGAATGCCTCTAGTACTGTAGCACTCATCACCTCTCAAGGTAATTGATTCCATCGTCTTATTTACTGCTCTAACAGTTAGGAGGTTTTTCCTAATATTCAACTGAAATCTGGCTTCCCGTAACTTGAGCCCACTGTTGCATGCCCTACACTCTAGGATGATTGAGAAGAGATCCTGCTCCTCCTCTGCATGGCACCCTTTCAAGTATTTGAAAAGTGCTATCATATCTCTCCTCAGTCTTCTTTTCTCAAGGCTACACATGCGGAGTTCTTTCAGTCTTTCCTCATGGGGCATGGTTTCCTGGCCACTAAACATCCTTGTTGCCCTCCTCTTAACTTGTTCCAATTTCTCAGCATTTTTCTTGATGTAAGGTATCCAGAACTGGTCCCTTCCACTAGCACTTCACATTTGTCTGGAGGGTCATAGAATATCCTTTGGGAAAAGACTGAGCTAAAACAGTAATTGAGCACTTCTGCCTTTTCTTTGTCTCCTGTTATCATTTTCTTCCATCTCCACTGCGTAGCTGAACCACCGTTTCTTTTCTCTCTCTGTTGCGTAGCTGAACCACCGTTTCTTTTCTCTGTCTGTTGCTATGCACATACCTAAAGAATGCTTTTTTGTTGCTTTTAGTATTTCTAGCTAACCTCAGCTTATTCTCAGCTTTTGCCCTCCTAATGCCATCCCTGCAATTCCTTGCTAATTGTTTGTACTCTTTCTTTGTAGCCTGGCCTCCTTTCTACTTCCTGTACATGTCCTTTTTTGTTTTCAGGTTCTGTCTGAGCTTTTTGTGAAGCCACAGTGGCCTTTTTTGCTATCTCCTACCTCTTCTTCTGGTTGGAATTGTTTTTACGTAGTTGTGCCTTTTGAACTTCCTTTTTTGGAAACTCTCACCCTTCTTGGACTCCTTTTCTTGTAAGACTCTTCTGCCAGGAGACCTTACTTATCATTGTCCTGAGTTTTTTAAAATTAGTTTTTCTAAAAATCCAGCATATATGTGTGGCTACACTCTACTTTGGTTTCCTTTGAAATCAAGAATTCTAGTAGAACATGGTCACCCTTGACCAGAATTCTCCTTATTGCAACTTCTTCCACTAAAGCACTGGTTCTTAACCTTGGGTTATTCAGGAGTTTTGGACTGCAACTCCCAGAAGTCTTCACCACCAGCTGTCCTGACTGGGGTTTCTGGGAGTTGCAGTTCAAAAGCATCCGAGTAACAAAGGTTAAGAGCCACTGCACTAAGTCATCTCTATTCATTAGAATCAAGTCAAGGATAGCTAGCCTTCTAGTTTCTTTCTCCAATTTCTCCATTATCTTGTTGCTTTTGTTTCTGTTCTGTATTTTTGTCTAAAATAAAATGACACAATTTTTGTTATAAGGAAACCTTTGTCTCTGTTAAGGGTAATCAGGGTAGGCTTGCTACCAACACTATTGTTTGTAGGATTTACAGGATATTATCTAAATACTGTGGCCAGCCTAATCTTAGAGCCGATCAGAGATTGCTTGTTTTTTAAGCTTATTTCTACATTATCTTCCTATTAACTGGTATAGTAAATCTATGCACTGTATGAGGTTTATGGTGTACACATTTTCCATACACAACCGTCCAGAGTAGACCTTTGGTCCAGATGGGTGGGATAGAAATCCAACGAATAAATAAATAAATAAATAAATGGATGAAAGCAGAAATAATGTTATCTCTGGCATGCAAGACACTATTTTCGCAGAAAACAAATCTAAATCAGCTTAAAGGATCTTCTCAGCAATTATTAAGACTCTGTTTGACTTTTATTTATTCAGCGGGTGCACAACTGGCCAAATTACTCTGGAGATACACTCTTAGCAGAATCCAATTGTTTTTGCCAGATTTCCCAGGCATATTTAATTACACTTTCCCATTATACAAAAGAAAATTCTTCTCATTTCCCAGAGTTTATATTTAGCTGTTTGCTGAACTCCAGTTTCCTTTGCATGAGATCAAATCCTAGAAGGCTTCTGGCTTGAGCGACCTCCACTTGACTCCATTAATCCTCCCCAGTAGACCTTCCCCTCACAAGTAAATCATTCCTATGTTACAAATTGAATAAACATATGTCTGTTTTGGTAACCATGCCTATTACAAATCTTGGCTAATAGAATTATCATTGTTGTGGCTTGTTTTGCCAAGGCCTCAAGCCAAAGGATTTCTGAAGAGCTTGAAACCCAACAGTAGCATGCTGACTTGCAAATAAGTTTCATATTTTATCAGGGATTGCAAAACAGTGTTTTTTGAGGGGAAAAGATAAAACAAGCAGGACATATGCTGGAATGACATGGCAGAAACTCTTGGCTAATAGAATTATCATTGTTGTGGCTTGTTTTGCCAAGGCCTCAAGCCAAAGGATTTCTGAAGAGCTTGAAACCCAACAGTAGCATGCTGACTTGCAAATAAGTTTCATATTTTATCAGGGATTGCAAAACAGTGTTTTTTGAGGGGAAAAGATAAAACAAGCAGGACATATACTGGAATGACATGGTAGAAATGGTGAATCTGACTGAACATGAGCTAGGGTCTATTCGAAGGCCTCTTCCGTGGCAGTGGTAAGTGGTGAAGAAGCGGTTCTCTGTCACCACTGCAGTTACACAAAGCCACCCAGACAAAGTGTTTCAAGTGATCAAGGGCCTACTACATCATGGCCCAAAGGGAAATAATACTGCAGCTCACCGTGAAGAATAAGTACAACACTCTGTGGGAAAAATTGTTCAGATCTGCTCTGACTTAGATGCCGTAGCTGGTGCAAATCTTGTGACTATAACTATAGCCCCTGTTTGCCATGTGTTGAGGGGTGAGCCTCAGTTTCTGCAGCCCGATGATGTAGACAGGACCCTTGGATAAATGATGTCTCCTGGACCCTTGCCCTCCCTGGATTATAAAAGCTGCCAGAAACTGGTTGATAGCTAGGAGTAGTAGTGAATGCCTCCTTGCAACAAAGTAGGATCACAGCATGCTTAAAGGAGACCATTGGCCATTGTTGAAACCCCCCTCCTTGGATCTCACAATACTGAATAACTACCAATCAGTCTCTAACGTTCCATTCTTAGGCAAGGTGCTGGAGATGGTTGTGGCTTCTCAGCTTCAGGGAATTCTGGATGAAACAGATTGTCTCTAGACCATTCTTTTCAGGAAAGCTCTCCCTTAATGACTGGCTGCTTGAATGGAGTTTTTTAATGGATGGTTGTGCCTTACTGTTTTGTATGTGTTTTTGGTGTTGCTTTCATTTACTGTCTTTTAATGTGGTATTTGCCTGATCTTTTCCAGTGTTTATATACTTATTGCTTTTTTTGTTTTGCTTTGCTTTTTGTTTTGCTTTATATATTGTCTTTTAATGATGTAAGCCGCCTTGGGTCCTTCCTTTAGGAAAAAGGCAGGGTAAAAATATTTCTCAATAAATAAAAAATTAAATAAATTGGCTTTGGATCAATGGACAACATAAGGTGAACATGCATGCCACCTTAAGCTCCTTAAAACAACAGCAGGGTATACAAATGATATATAAAATTTTTTATCTCACATCTTTTTGCCCAAGAGCCCCACTGTATTATATTATAACTGGAGTAAACAACATTAAATGTTTTTATAGCATTTGCACCTACATGGAAGCCATTTAACAGCTTAAAAGATACATGCTCAGAGGTAGAAATGCATCATGTGCCTACAGAGGAATTCTTCAACCCCAGAGAAAAACTGGCTCTTTTTTTCTTACATTAGAACCCGGCAGACACTACAACAACTCTATAGCACAAGGTTAAATGATCTGGCAAACCACATGCACTTTTAAGAAGAATCAAAAATAACCCTGTTAGCTGCTATAAATTGAGTCATATGAGGTATGTTACTGTGACGGACAGATCAGTAACCACTCCTGTCCATCACAATGGAACCCTGATTTAACAACCAATGGGTGAACAGAAGAGGTGGAACTAAGAAAATACAAGAAGAATGGAAGACAGTTAAAGATCAGTTAAGGATATGAGTTAGAATTAGGGACTTCAGTTAGAGAGAAGCAGTTTAGGCAGTTAGGAGCAGCCTTGTGTTAGAGAAGGGTAATAGAGAGATAGAGAATAAGACAAGGAAAGTACAAATCTTGTATGGTTTATGGTTATGATTGGAAAGAGTTAGAAGTGAAAAGAAATGAATAAATACCTTGATTAAAATGATTCTACCTAAGCAAATATAAATGTTATCAAAGTACAAGTTGTTGAATGAATAACATAAGACTATCCATGATTCACTTTACATGATTTACTGATAAACACATAAATAAACATTGTTATATTAGAGAACTGTGATTTAAGAGTCATATTTAATACTGTAGGGGATAAATCCTCTGGTGGCAGTGGAAAAGGGTTGAGAAATGTCATACCCAAAAGTGAACCTGGGTTGTGTGGAAGAACAAACAGGGGAACTGGGGGTATGTGACAGTTACATTCAAGATACCTCAGTAAGAAGACCTATGCATATTAACACACCTTTTAATGAATACTTTCAACCCTTGTTTATACTAGTTGTTGGATGGAAACCAAACCTGGTCAAGCTGTCTTTCCAAGGGCTATGCAAATACAACAGAAAGCATTTATGGTTCAGTTTCCAAAATGCCGTTAAACTGTTTAGAAATCACTAAAGATTTGGTTATATATAGAGCTGTTTTAGATTAAGCTACCCCTCCCCAAACATCATCTCTTGAACATTTTTGGACTTGTAACAAAAGAAAAACCAAACCAAAATAAAAAATTAAACATTCAGAAATTAAGGACAGATTCAATAATGCCTCTGTAAAACATCATCTCTTTAACATTTTTGGGCTTGTAACAAAAGAAAAACCAAATAAAAATAAAAAACTAAACATTCCGAAATTGTATATTTGAAACCAGCTCATGTTAAAAATAATAAAAGAGACAAGGTTACAGTACTAATAATATAAAATTATTCAGTTCAGTTGCTTCGCATCACTTACCATCCTTATCATAACAAGAAGGCAAGCAGACTGTTGGATACAGTGGATCCTTCCTACCATTCCAGGGGCAGTCTAATCTGCCCCGAGAGAGAATATGTGGGGACAATACAGTCAAAAATTATGTACTGAGTCCCAGTGACTGGAAAACATGAGCCCACAGGGTTAAACATCTCTCGTTGAAATAGAAGGAAGCACTTAACTTTGTTCAGGATGCTCTCTCATTATAACTCCTTTTCCTGAGCATCAGAAAAAGGAATTAAAAGGCAAGAAACCCAATTAGAAGACCACCCTGAACCCAACACTTTGTCTACCTGAATTTCTTGCCAAATGTCTTCATCTAGCAGAGTGGCTGCGGTGTAGTGCTGCATAGGAACGATCATGCAATGACCTTCTGTAAGAGACTGGTAGTTTGGCAATGACAAGTATACCTACACAAGAAAAACAATAATTAGATATTTTAAGTGTATGTTTAATATTACAGATGTTTTAATAGATAAATGAAGGAAAAAACCAATAAGTGAAAAAATAAATCAAGAGAACACCATCCTTTCGTTAAATCTCTGGCCCTGCCTACTTTAACTGTAGTTTCTGTTTTATTCCCAAACACACCTATCCCACCAAAAATATACACTGACAGCAACTATTTCTGTGCATATGGGTCTGCCCTCTGCATAGATATTTGCCCCAGGAAAGACAGGCATGAAAGGCTAGATTTCCTACCACAAATCAACCTCCTCTCATTTTATGTTCAAATGGTCACCCTGGATGGGGGAAAAAATCAGCTGGGAGCATTAAGCACTTTTCATCTGTTTGCTCTTTCTGTTCCGGCTCCACTTTATCCTTTATTCAGACATATCCATGCTTACTGAGATACATACAGATCTTCCCTACAGATCAAGAATGAAGAATCTGTATTTATCAAAAGAACTGTCATTTTGTTTGATAGAGGGAACTCTGAACAATCACATCATCAAAACTGCACATGAAGTTTAGAAATTATACTTTTCAAAACATTTTTCCTTCACAGAATTCCTTTCTAATTTCTCAACCTGCCTTTCCTAGCCATGTGAATCCACAACACATCACGATCTCAGCCAATAAATATATACTTTACATACGCCGTAACACACATATCATCTTAAATATGTCTCATTTTTCCAGTCTTACTCTTCTGCTGCTTGAAATCTGTGAATAAAAACAGCCACACTTCTAGGAAATTAATCTTTTCCAACCCATGGTCAGTATGGGAGGGTGGTGTCTTGCTAGCAGAATAGCTAATACAAATGGGGAGATATTTCCCCCCATCCTGCAGCCATTTCACAGCCCCCAAACCATCTCTGAGGGGCCGAGAAGCCCTCCAGAACTGGTTTTTCAGCAGTGTGGAGGACTGCAGGGGTAAGGTATAAGGTTCTGAAAATTCTGCCATTATAATATTAAATTTAGCTCCAATTATACAGTAGGGACTTCTATATCTGTGGGGGATCAGGTCCAAACTCCCTGCTGATGGTGAAAAATATTATTAAATGCTATTATAATAGAGAATACTATATACAGAATGCTCTCGGGTACTCTCTGTAGTGGCCAGTTCTGGAAACTTCACTGTTAGAAACATATATTTTAGGGGGTTTTCTTTTAATATTTCCATACCGTGGATAAATGGATCACTGGATCCTGATCCTGCAGGTAAGGGGATCCCTACTGTATTGCATAGTAAAAATTTTTTTTGCCATTTTTTCTCCACAGGGATTCTTAGGGCACAGTTGCAAAAATTTTGGCCCATCAAGCCCCCAGAAGCCCCGAACAGCACAGCCAATGGTAAGGAACTAGATGACTTAAAAGTCCACTACATCTGAAGTCCAGATTTTCATACCTGCCTCTGACCCCCTTAGAGGGATACCTCTGCCTGGCAAAGTGCAGGTGTCATGATGAGCTTGTTTTTTTTTTTTAATTTTAGCACCACCCAGATTATGGAACTCATAAACTGGGCAAGTTCAGGTGGTAGATGGGGTAGGTTTTGTTTGAACACAATTTTTATGAAATTGCTCAGCGACACTCCATTGCCTTGGTGTTTTTCTGGCTTGTGCTGTTTTGGCACTTTGTTTTATTGCTCAGATGATTGTTGTTGTTGGTCTATTAAGATTTTAGATGGCCTATAAGCTTCTCTGAGTGAGTACTCTGCTTCGGTGAAAGATGCACTGTAGATATTACTGCATAAATAAAAAACTCATTTCGTACCCCCTTGCTCTCAGTGGCTAATAAACCAATGGTGGAAGCAATATTCTGGATAATAAATTTCCTCTGTTGAGTAACACAGTTTCAGCAAGTGATGTTGGCATGTGAATGAATACCTAACCATAGATAAATCATATATTTCTGCCCATGTAAACACTGCCTCACCTTTAGGAAGCATTTTTGTGGCATAGGAAGGAATAGCTACATGCACAAGGGAAGAAGGAGGAAAGGGGGGGTGTCTTGTGCTAGTAATGTCCAAATTGGAGGTCTTGTGAATATAGTGGAAAATTAGTATGATAAGCCCACAGAAATGACCATATCGAGGGGAATCAGCTTGATGGCACTTAATTAGAGGAAGAAGTGGTCCAGGGCCAGTGCTGGAAGTGAGTTAAAACGGATGGTACCAATTTATTCATATTCATCTAAAAATGGTAAATTTCATCCTCATATGCTGCTTTCAATAGATTTGGCTAGGAGGGAACTTTCTGGGCTGTGGTGGCAGTCAATCAATCCAGCAATAACCAATTGTTCCTTTCCTGCCTCTGATTTTAAAGAGAGCCAGACCTCTTTGCTTATGTGTCCCCCCCTTGTTTTAGTCTGCTGACAGTTAGTGCAGTTATGCAGTTAGTGTGCAATTAGAATGTAGTCTGCAGGAGTCCTCTTGCTCTAAGTAGTCATTTTTCTACAATATGCTGTTTGAGCTGTTCAACTGTGAGTAAATGGAACATTTTATTATTTCTCCTACCAATGTCTCAGACTGAATTATTCCAGTTGATGAGATAAAAAGGGGTGGTTTACTTTAGGGAGGTAAAGGTAAAGGTTCCCCTTGACAATTTTTTGTCCAGTCGTGTTCGACTCTAGGGGGCGGTGCTCATCCCCGTTTCCAAGCCATAGAGCCAGCGTTTTTGTCCGAAGATAATCTTCCGTGGTCACATGGCCAGTGCGACTTAGACACGGAACGCTGTCACCTTCCCACCGAGGTGGTCCCTATTGATCTACTCGCATTTGCATGCTTTTGAACCGCTAGGTTGGCGGGAGCTGGGACAAGCGACGGGCGCTCACTCCATCACGTGGATTCGATGTTACAACTACTGAATTATTCCAGTTGATGAGATAAAAGGGGGTGGTTTACTTTAGGGAGACTTGAAGCTAATTCTGCCCTGCAAGTCCCTGCACTTTTGCTGCACCGCTAAAGGGGCCCTGCAAGTCCCTGCACTTTTGCTGCACAGCTAAAGGTTTTTAGCCAAAATTCAAAATAGAGAGTTCTGGAGAACCATGAACTTTTTCTATCATTATCTGCAGGACAAGTCAGGGAGGAAATAACTTGAATATGTATATCTCATTCTTTACTACACTACCTCCTTCCTTTTCTTTATTTTCTGTAACTTCCTTTCCCAGGTTCCCATTAGCTTACTCTTATTGAGTTCAAACATTTCCATCAATCCACAAAGCAAAAACTCAAAACTACAAAATCAAAAAATGACCCAAACCATATCCTAGCCTCTCCTGTAGTATTCAGTTCTGCTTATTCCTTCTCCTTGCTGTAATAAATTTCTTGTCCACATTTTCCTTCTGCATTGCTAGCCTTTCAATTAACTATTCACGACGCCCTTTCTCCTGTATTCGCGAAGGCTTTCACGGCCGGGATCTAATGGTTGTTGTGGGTTTTTCGGGCTCTTTGGCTGTGTTCTGAAGGTTGTTCTTCCTAATGTTTCACCAGTCTCTGTGGCCGGCATCTTCATCTGCTGTTCTCTGAAGATGCCGGCCACAGAGACTGGCGAAACATTAGGAAGAACAACTTTCAGAACAAGGCCAAAGAGCCCGAAAAACCCACAACAACCATTACCCCTTCTCCTCTTGCTATTCTTGCTCCTCCTTCCTTAATGTAACCAGGCAGTGCCCTATCCTGCCGCTTTGAAAGTACATTTGTGAATGAACACACTGTTTACTCTCACCAATGCCTTGGGACTTATGGAAGAGGTGATAGGTTATGTGTGAGTCTCTGTATAAAACCACTGTCCTCCCAATCACAGGATGATTTTCTTGGAAGCCATTTCCAATGGGTTTCTAGGTATCTCAGCACAAGCATCCTTTGAAAGATGTACCACAATTAATATGAATTAGCAATACTAATGACAATTCTAAGTACAGCAAATTAGAAGGGTTCATTCAGAATGGAAGTCTTGATTTCCCTAAACCTCAAATGCAAAAGTCCTTGGCTTAATGGGGACTGTTTTTGCTGACAGCAGGCTCAAGAGACCTGGGTGGTGGGCCCATTTGGGAGGGGGGGCACCATCTTTAACCAGTATTCTCTGCAGGTTAGCATGAGCTTCCTGACCAGCCAGTCAAGTCAGCTGGGAGGTGGTGTTCCAGTCTATCTAATCAGGATTAAAAAAATATCCTGGCTGGCTCATTCAGTATTAGAGCTTCTCCCACTCACCTACCCTCATTATATATTTGTGCTATGGTGTGCTTTGGTGAATAGGGGTTGTTTCTTTTCATTTTTGTCATGGCTTTACTATTGGGGGGCATAGAGAATAGATCTAAATGAAATGGAAGAGGTGTGGCCCTTCTATGATAATACCCCTTCTAAGAGGGGGGAGTGGATAGCCCATATGCACACTCAGAAAGAGGGCTGTTGCACACCTGGGGACAGAGGGATCCATACAATAGTGGATGCTCACATAGCTAACTCTAACTCCTTTACTTTGGTTATCATCAACTTGCAGATGGAGCAGCTAGCACTAGGGTTGTTGAAGCTCTAACCAATAAAATATGTGGTCAATTTTGTTACCAAAAAAATCATGGATTTGTGGCCTGTTACCACGTCTCCTCCTCATCCCCTCAGCCTACTGGAGCTATTAAACTCAGACAACAAATAACAGCCCATCTCTAGAAAGCTATTATTCTACAGGCTATCACATGGAGCAGCTTGTTTTTTGTTGTCCAGAGGTCAGGATCTGACCCAGTTCAAACCACAAGAGGGAATACCATGACTGAACATTGGATAAAGCTCAATGAGCTTTACTTAATGATCTGTCTGACAGGAGAAGGTTCCACACTGGAGGTTTTCAGAGGTCAGATGCCCATTCATAAGTGATGATTAATCTGTGAATTCCTCCACTGGCAGGAGTGGGGCTAGATGATCTCTAGCACCCTTTCAACTCTACAATTCCAAGCTACAGCCAAACTGGAGAGAAAAATGCCTGAGCTGCTTTTCAGAGACAGAACTTCTCAGTTTATGCTAAAAAACCTCAAGTTTCCAACCTGTGCATATTTTTCTATGATGACTTAGACCCAATGGGCAAATTTGTTGCATTAGGAGCTGACATTCTGCTTTCAGAATCCTGAAAGGCCTGCCTATTCCATTATTCCAACGTTGGTCATGTATTATTTTATTATTATAATTTAGGGTATTTCACAGGAGCCCCACAATCTAAATTCTCTAAGTAAGCTACACTAATATTTAAAAAGCAGCATGAAAAAAAGCAATACAGTCATGCCCCACTTGACAATTACCCCGTTTAACGATGAATCCGCTTCACGATGTTTTTGCGATCGCAAAACGATGTTTGAATGGGGTTTTTTCACTTAGCGATGATCGGTTCCCTGCTTCGGGAACCGATTTTTCGCTAAACAGTGTTTTTTCAACAGCTGATTGGCGGTTTTCAAAATGGCCGCCAGCTCTCAAAATGCCCCCCCCCCGCTGTTTTTAGGAGGCATTTTTCGCAAGACAGGCACCGGAAAATGGCCGCCCTATGGAGGATCTTCGCTTTACGATGAGGTATTTCGCCCATTAGAATGCCTTAGCCGGTTTCTAATGCATTCTAATGGGCTTTTTAATTTCGCTTGACGAGGATTTCGCTTAAAAGCGATTTCAACAGCACGGATTATCCTCGTCAAGCGAGGCACCACTGTATTTTTATTTTCAAAATGCAACGCTTTCCCCAGTAATGCACCATGTTTTCTGGGAACAGACACCCATTCAGGAGAAACAGCTTCTGAGTGTGGCACAATCCCTGGTGCACACATTTACTCCCTCCTTTTTCCAGTTTGCTGCAAACTTCAGCAACAGCAGTCATACGCTACTTTCTTTTTGGCTGCTATATCTATTCACCTCATTCCTGATCCAGCCACATAAAGCCATTTGAACAGTGTTTGTTTCTTTAACTGTCCAGTAGCTTTAGACAAGTTTTCCCGTTAATAATCTCTCAGAACCCAAGTGAGAAACAGAACAACAACAAAATGGACATTCCCAGAGGGGTAGTAGGTGTGTTAGTTTGTGGACTATTGGAGCAAAACCAAAGAAATTCTTATGGCATTGTAAAGACTTTTTATTTAGTATCAACTTGCCCGAAAAACCCACAACAACCATTACCCCTTCTCGTCTTGCTATTCTTGCTCCTCCTTCCTTAATGTAACCAGGCATCGCAAAGACTTTTTATTTAGTATCAACTGTATGGATTGTAGCCTACTTGCCGTTGAAAGGTGTATTACACTCCAGAAAAGTCTATCTTAAATAAATCTCATTAGTAATTAACATACCAAAAGATTCTTTTGATGTTACAATTGCCATGCACTGAACAAATAAGAGGACTTCCATACAGGATATTCCTTCCTGAATTTTTATATCCACAGGGCTTTGTTTCAAATGCTTATACTTGATAAAGATTATTTGTAATGCTTATGGCGTTGGGTTGTCAGGATTTTCTTGCTAAATTGGGGATCCTTCCCGAATTTTTATGCAGAAGATCATATGGTCTTCATTTTAGGAGTATCTGATAATTGTACAAAATATGTACACTTGGTTATGCATTTGCAACATTTTTATATAGGGATGTCATTTTATGATCTATGAGATAAATGGAAATAGGAAGGGGTGAGGGGAATTATGTGCTGTCTACAATAAAGGATGTGGAAAGCGAAGAAGAGATGAAATTAAAGAGAGAGATAAGAAGTGGCAATAATTTGTTCTTTTTCTTCTGATGTAAGTTTTGGCCTCTTGTCCCTCCCTAAAGGTTGCTGGATTCAACATTAAGAATGTATTATGCAGTCTGATAACCATTTTGTTGTTAGACTTTATGTTTTGTTGAAACATTACACCCATTTTGCCTCAACTGTTGGTGTGCTTGAGAACCTTATTGGCTGAACTGCAGAACGTCATTATCTTTGTAATAAAATTTTGTAACACATAAGAGTCTTGTTTCTTTCATATACAATGATATTGCACTAACATATACTTTTCACTGAATAATTATTTTGGAGCAGACAGGGCACAGTAAAAGTGCTAAGACTCTGTTTCAAATCCAAGAGTAGTTTTAAAAAGAAGAGAGACTAACATCCATATGGCTGCTGAATACCTGAATGACTCTGCTTTGTCCTAAGAGCCTTAATTTCTTTTACAGCCTCTAATTTCAGCCTCCCCTCCCTGACCCTTTTCTCTAGCTACTGAACTTTACTTTGGCCTCCCAATTATTTAAAATAATGCACCTCCATGCAACCTAAATATTCAGCTCTTGTATATCCTTGCTGCAAGGTCACCAGCAAATTGGAGGGACTGAAGAAGATTAACTTGATCATTCAGGACAGAATCCTATCACTTTCCCTGCATCCTTGAGGAAGTGTCTCTTTCCTCCTAATTGGAAAGGCCAGGGACATTCAAAGGCAATAACTCATGTCAACAAGAAGCACTCGTCCTTTTCATTTCACAAAAACCATGCACGGAAAACAGCCCTCTTTTATTTTCTCATTTGCATGCCAAAATAAGCTGAACAGTTTTCTTACCTTGTTGCCAATGGCAATAATCAGATGTTTCGGAAGCTCTGAACTACCGAAGCAGTGCGGGCACTTTTCCATTCGGATAGCAAGTTGCTGGTGCTCCCGGATCGCTTGATTCCTTTGCCTTGACTCCTCAGCTCCACTATGCTCGCCCTTTGCAGCTTTTGAAACAAACATGTCATCCAGAGTGTAGTACTCTCTATCAGTTTTGTCTGAGAACTGAAACAAAATAAAGATTTAGCCAGTGAGGAAACTTCAGAGGGTAAGGCATAACACAGGACAGGGCACACACTTACTCTGAGCTCCCATGTTGTGCATCTTTGGGTGGATATTTGTATCATGGATGTAAACACAAAGCTCTTGACTGGTGACTAGCAATAGCAACATAGGATAAAATAAGATAAAAGCAGAAGTAGAGAAAAGTACATCATAAGATGTGAAGTGAAAGAGAAGGTAGGGTAAGAATGAGAGGGAAGTATTTTCAACCCAGAGCATAAAATGGTAGAAAATGCACCTCCAGGAGTTATCGGAGATTAGATTAGATTAGGGATTCTTCAGTCTCAAGAGACTATAGTAACATGCTCTGAATAGAGGACTTTTAACAGCTTCTAGTGTGGCTGAGAAGGCCAATTCCTTCCACACTGAAGACAAATACAATCTGTCCCCTGTCCAGCTCCCTGATTTTGCTGGGTTCGAGACTGGCTCTGCCTCGGCCTGCTGGATAAGTGTCTCTTCAAAATGAGAGAGGCCACACTGCACTGCCTGCCTCCAGGCTGAACACTCAGATGTCAAGGTTTCCCACCTGTTGAGGTCCACTCCTAAGGCCTTCAGATCCCGCTTACAGATATCCTTGTATTGCAGCTGTGATCTCCCTCTGGGGTGATTTCCCTGCACTAATTCTCCATACAAGAGAATGACCATCACCCATTCTCACAACATGCCCAAGCCAACGTAGACGTTGCTGTTTCAATAATGCATACATGCTGAAAATTCCAGCTGGTTGTAGGACTCCTCTATTTTGAACTTTGTCCTGCCAGGTGATACCAAAAATGCCTCTGAGACAACGCATATGGAACGTGATTAGTTTCCTCTCCTGCCATGCACAAAGGTTCCAGGAGTCACTGCAGTACAGGAGTGTACTCAGGACACAAGCTCTATGGACCTGGATCTTCGTATATGGTGACAGCTTCTTATTACGCCATACTCTCTTTGTGAGTCTAGCGTTATCAGAGAAGTAACAGCAAAACTACAAATACAAAATGAAGTCAGGAAGAGAGAGAAATGCCTAAAGCTGAATGTGAACTTTTCTTAAAAGTTAGCTCACCAATGATTTTTCCTTCGAAGTTACTAACGAAGTATAATGAAAAATCCATGTATTCAAAATCTTTCCCAAGCAATATGCCACAGCTATGGCAAGGGGCATATTCAATTAGATCTGTGTGGGAAGCAGGACAAAAACAATCCCTAGAAAGAGACACGGAGATGCCATCCCTCCCTTTTTTTTGACTATCAAAACAAAGGGGATCCAATGCTGGCATGACCTCTGCAAATAGGTGCTCTGTCATGTTTCTCCATATGCTGAGGAACAGTAAAGGCAGAATGCACAAAGAAACAAGTGAATGTCTAAGCTACACGCAAGACAGAATGAAGACTGCAAAGGGGGGGGGATGGAAGATGATATAATTAAAGGAGGAAAAATCACACATTTCAGAAACTAGTAACTGGTACTATACAAAATCTGAGGAAAACTGGTTTGAGAGAGGGGACTAAAGAGAGAGGCATTGCTCTTTTACATAAAGTCCTTCTGGATCTGACTCCAAAAAAGGGACAATAAATAAAAAGCAGGCAGAACATTACATACGTATATCCAATCTCTATCTTGCTGTACAGCTTTATTGTAACAATATTTGTCTGAAAAGTAATGTACCAACACACCTGTGTACCTTCCACTAAGTTTTCAGAAATATATTAAATTGAATTTACTCATAGGAAAACTGCTCTGATTGTACTGCTAGAGTGATTTGTTACAATCCATAGTATAATTAAAGACATTTAACACATGTTCATGAGGTTTCTATGGAAACCACCTAGCTGCTTTCAAAAATGAACAGCAGAAATCAACGCAAAATGTGAGAATTCACATCACCTTTGTCACCATGTAATAAACTACATCATTTCTGAAACTCCTGCTTAAGACAATGTAACCATAGCAAGGGACTTGTAAATTTGTGAGCATATAAAAAGAGGCTAATCTAACTACAATTTGTTTGAGAAATAATGCGCAGTATCTGTTTCTCATCAGGGCACTGACAGCATAATATTCAGTTTTAGAACTGACTCACAGAGAAAGTCAATAACAAAAACTAATTTAGAAAAATTATTTTAATATGTTGACTCCAGAAATCTCGTCAGTACATTTCGCAAAACTTAGTATCACAACCTTGTGCTAATTAATTTTGACATGTGAGTATTAATAAAAATGGGTCTAAAGTCTGAATTATTCCTTTTTAAAAATAACATTCTGAAGTAAAGGGCCCTCTCCAAGTGTTACACTCTGTTGGTGTACTCTGATGAGGAGAGCCCATCAAGCTTTCATTAAAAACAAAGGGCAAATATGAAAGTAACGAGATGTGTCAACAATAATCCTTTGCTGAGTTACACCCACTGCAGATATTTTCTTCTATGTCCTCTCTCAAACATACCATGCGGAGACTATGGACTCAAAGTCATCTCTGCCTCCACTGTGGAACAGGTTTGCCAATTTTATTTTGTAATTTGAAGGACCTGTGACAATTTCAATCACCTTCTATTTAAGGCAAGAGTGAAAAATAAAAGAACAGTCCACAACTGAAACGGAAATACTGGCATTCTAACAGTACATATGCATGGATTGGTGTAAGCAAAGCATCTGAAGAAGATGACAATGGCAGAGAAGACTCTTCGTATATGGTGACAGCTTCTTACGATAATCTGTTCCAGGAAAATCGCCATTAAGTGAAAACATCGTAAAGCGAAAATAAAAACCCCATTGAAACGCATTGAAATCCGTTCAATGCGTTCCAGTGGGGTAAAAACTCACAGTCCAGTGAAGATCCTCCATACAGCGGCCATTTTCGCTGCCTGTATAGTGAGGAATCCGTCCCTAAACACAGTGGGGAACCATTTTAATCAACCGTCGGCCACTTTGAAACCACCGATCAGCTGTTCGAAAAAGTCATTATGCGAAGAATCGGTTCCCGAAGCAGGGAACTGATCATCACAACGTGAAATCCCCCCATTAAGACCATCGTTTTGCGATCGCAATTGCGATCGCAAAAAGATCGTCGTTAAGCGGTTTCGTCATAATGCGGGGCAGTCGTAAAGCGAGGCACCACTGTATAGTGATCTGCTCAATGACATAAGATGAGTCCTGCAGGATCAGATGCAAGGCCTGTCTTGTTCAGCAAGCTGCTTCCCACATTGACTAGGCAGATAAGTCAATGGGAGATCATAGATGTAGGACTTAAGAAAAGTTATTTCCAATGGCTGGTATTGAGAGAGATGCTTTAAAATGAAGTAAGACACATACAAAGCATTCAAAGTAGCCGGCTGTTAACAGGCTCGTGATTAAACTAAAGCAAATGCCATCAATTCACTAGGTCTTGTGTGAATTGGACAAAAAGTTGCTCATTTTGTCTATAATGATTTTTAAGCAATACTTCTGCAGCCCTTCATGTGGAAAATAAATGATTTTAAAGATACCACTCAGAATTGCATTTCAAGAACAATCCTAAGGAAGGAAAAGTGGCAAGTTTCTGCATCAAAATAATAAAAATTACTTCAAAGTGAAGAATGGGGGAAAGTGCATTATATTCAACTTTACTTCTTTAAGATTCATGAGTTTGTTTTTAAGATTCACTGGCCAAATTTTTACTGTGCTTTTACACCAACTTAATGAAATCTGAGTACCTCTTGGGGCAAATTATTACATGTTAAGAAGACAGCATCCGCACTTCTTGTTTTCTTTAAGTCACATGCCTAGGCTTGCAAAAATAAATGCTACACTTACTTCTTAAGTTGAAGCAATTCACTACCAGGATTTATACCAACTTCATTATGTCGGCAGGATTTTGGTTATTAGTTCATTAGTCTTATTGCAGCAACCACAGGAACTACAGTATTAGCAACACGATAATCAAGATATACCCTGTTTGACACCTCTGCCTACTGGGGGCTTTTGTTGTTGTTGTAGCCTAGCAATAGCTCTTGTACAGACTATAAATTACAAATAAATGTTGTGACACACACATTTCTTTTAGCACAATCCACAGCTTTTTATGATTCACATAGTCAAAGGTAAAGGTAAAGATAAAGGTTCCCCTTGACAATTTTTGTCCAGTCGTGTTCGACTCTAGGGGCGGTGCTCATCCCTGTTTCCAAGCCACAGAGCCAGCGTTTTGTCCGAAGACAATCTTCCGCGGTCACATGGCCAGTGCAACTTAAGACACGGAACGCTGTTACCTTCCCACCGAAGTGGTCCCTATTTATCTACTTGCATTTGCATGCTTTCGAACCGCTAGGTTGGCAGGAGCTGGGACAAGCGATGGGGACTCAGTCCATCGCATGGATTCGATCTTACGACTGCTGGTCTTCTGACCCTGCAGCACAGGCTTCTGCGGTTTAGCCCACAGCGCCACCACGTCCCTTTTCACATAGTCAAAGGCTCTACTATAATCTACAGCGGTGCCTCGCTTAGCGATGTTAATCCATGCAGGAAAAAATATTATTAAGCGATTTCATCGCTAAGCGATTTTTAAAAACCCATAGAAACGCATTAAAACGCATTTAATGCGTTCCTATGGGCTTAAAAACTCACCTGCAAGCGAAAATCCTCCATAGGGGCGGCCATTTTCGGTGCCTCTAAAGCGAGGCAACACAGCGTGCGGCCATTTTGAAACCTCCCATCAGCTGTGCAAAAAGGGTTGCTTTGCCATGATCGCTTCCCCGCAATCATTGCAAAGCAAAAAATCTCCTTAGGGACCATCGCAAAGCAATCGCTTTTGCAATTGCAAAAACAACGTCGCTAACCGATTTCGTCGCTCAACGGAGCGATCGCTAAGCGAGGCACCACTGTATAATGATTGAATTTCTTCAGAAATTCTTTAGTATGGTGCAGTAGCCAGTGTATACTTGCAATATGGCCTCTAAAGTCCCTTCTGTTTTCCAAACCTAGTTTGAAT